AATTGTGAAATTACTTTTTGAAATACAGAATTTCGTTCGCGGCCGATTTGATGCTTTGCATCAATTTAACTTATGTGTGTTTGTAAATAGTTTATTTTGTTGCGTTCAGAGAGATATTCAAGAACGTACGCAGATATACAATACAGAAGACATATCCCCTGCAATTGTACATACACTGGATCGTTAACCGAAATCATTACAGTTTTGACCTCTTGTCAGTTTAATTGTACAAAAAAAAAAGAAACAAACTACTAGTGTATGTCACGAACCAGAAAAAGTTAAAGGAACTGACAGCATCATAGAACAATGAATTACATGTACCGGTATATATAATAATAGGCGCGATTTAAGAAATCTACTCTCTCAATGTACATAGGCGTCGAAACCGGGGGGGGGGACTTTTTTGCAAAGACAGTTATATTAATATATGCAGTGAAAATTGGGACACAAGTTTAACCCCACTTTCAACGGGCACGTTGCAGTGTAGTCAAAGAAGGGTAAGTGTTGGTGTTTGGGGAAAAAATTGTTTCTGGAAAAAGTTAAAATCACCTAACCCCCCCCCCCCCGGTCAAAATTTCCTTTTTCTTGTTTGTGCTTGTCAAGTTTTTTTTTTAAGTTAGACAATCTTTTCCGTTTGAAATAGCCCCCCCCCTTCAAATTTACTTCCGACGCCAATGATGTTACAGCAATCGAAATTTTACTTCTAAATTTTAAATTCTAAAGATGGTCTTTACGGTGTAAGGAAGTGTTATCTTGCGTAGATTTTTTAAGTATATTCCTTGCTTATATATTCAAATTAAACAGCAAAAAGAAATGAAATTCATAACAATAGCATTACATGGAGTGCATGGTTAGAGCGTCGAAGTAAGGAGTTGATCCTTACGTCGCAGGTTCGAATCCCTTTTTGGGACGTGGAAATCGGTCCTTCGGATGAAAATGTATAAACCGGGGTCCCGTGTCGCAGTAGGTGCTGGCACGAAAAAGATCCCTCCCTACTCAATAACCGTAAGTGCCGAGTAAAGGACAAAATCTGTAGCTCACTGGCGGCAAGTGGTTGCGTCTCTATATGAGTGAAAAATTCTCGAGAGCGACGATAAGCAGCATTTAATCAATAAATCAGTCTTTTTTTGTCAATGTATTTTCTTATGTTTTCCGGTTTTTATCAATAGACAGTAGTTAGAAATTAAGTAAGCAATTGTCTATTTTTTTTTTTCAAAACAAAAGGCGGACCCTTTCTTCTGGTGCTTTTTAAGCCCCCTGCTACTCTTTAGCTCACATCAGCCGAAAGCTGAGCTTTTCTCATCACGATTTGTCCGTTGTCTGTCGTCGTTCTCTATTGTTAATGAGAGAGATGTTCCATAATTTTTGCTGTGTAATAAGATAGGCAGACCTTTTCTGATAGCTGCGTTTTAAGGTCCGCCCTGTCTCTTTCCCGTGTTTTTAAGCTACGAAAATAAACCCTGTCCAAAAATTTCTCTTTATGAGATGAAGATATCTGAAATACAGAGGGCGGACCTATTCTGATAAGTAAGTTTTAAGGTCCGCCCTGTCCCTTTCCCGTGTTTTTAAGATACGAAAATAAACCCTGTCCAAAAGTTTCCCTTTAAAACAAAAAGATATCTGAAATATAGAGGTCGGACCTTTTCTGATAACTGCGTTTTAAGGTCCGCCCTGTCTCTTTCTTGTTTTTTTAAGCTACGAAAATAAACCCTGTCCAAAAATTTCCCTTTAAAACATAAAAATATCTGAAATGTAGAGGGCGGACCTTTTCTGATAACTGCGTTTTAAGGTCCGCCCTGTGTCTTTCTCTAGTTTATTAAGTTACGCAAATAAACCCTGTCCAAAAATTTCCCTTTAAAACAAAAAGATATCTGAAATACAGAGGGCGGACCTTTTCTGATAACTGAGATTTAAGGTCCGCCCTGTCTCTTTCCCTTTTTTTAAGCTACGAAAATAAACCCTGTCCAAAAATTTCTCTTTATGAGATGAAGATTTCTGAAATGCAGAGGGCGGACCTTTTCTGATAACTGCGTTTTAAGGTCCGCCCTGTGTCTTTCTCTGGTCTATTAAGTTACGAAAATAAACCCTGTCCAAAAATTTCCTTTATGACATGAAGATATCTGAAATACAGAGGGCAGACCTTTTCTGATAACTAAGTTTTAAGGTCCGCCCTGTCCTTTACTCGTGTTTTTAAGGTACGAAAATAAACCCTGTCCAAAAATTTCCTTTCATTACATACAGATCTCTGAAATACAGAGGACGGACCTTATATATTATGCTGAGCTTTAAGGTCCGTCATGTCACTTTCTCTGATTCTTATTCTATACGAAAATAAACCCCGTATAAAATTTCCTTTGTAATGAGTAAAGACCACCTTTAACCAAAATTATCTAAATGGAATGAAGAGCAGTCATATCCAAATAAAATTATTTAAAAGTTGTTTTTCTGGTTAAGGATGGTCTTTGGCAACAAATTGTCATCGTTAGGTGGATACCTCAATATCTATTATATATTCCATACAATTTTCATATTCATCATATGAGGGAACTATTAACATTTGCATATAATTGTTGTGTGATTTGGTTTTATGCATGTATAAACTAAGATTGTATGACAAAATTTAGGTTAAGCAATATAATTTAAAAAAATCACTAGTGGTGTAGGCGAAAATGCCTATCAAATGCGCTATGGCTCTTTCTGGGTACTGTTGCGGGCTGTGGTGAGGTTGGGGTGGGGGTGGGGGGGGGGGGGCTGCAGAGATTCAAAATTAAAAAATACTTGATACACAACATATGAAGAGGGTCAAGTGATGCAATGCTGGATCGAACTGTAGACACATGTATGCTTTATTATTTTTTTTCTTCTATTTTTGAGTATATGGACGAGAACTTGTAAAAACTTTCCCCCTCAGGCTTAATCCTTTTCATACAGGCGTAAGATAAATGCACTGTAATTACAAACAATTTTTCGCAAAAGGCTCCATGTCGGTTATAATAGAAAATAATTTACAGTTATTTAAAAAAGAATCATTAATTTTATAAAATTATATAATCAGCTTAAGTTTTTGGTCTGAGTCGTTAGTTCTTTTGTAAAACAATCCCCTGATGTATATGTTTTCCACATTGTGTGAGCTGCTTTAGTCTTGAACTGAACATTGCAATCATGTATTTTGTTTCTGCAGTAAATGTAAATAGAGATCGAATTCAATATTAAGTTATATTTTACACTATCCACAAATAAAGGACCAAAATATGATTATAAACAGAAAACAAAAGGTATATGTAAAGACTACAGGAAACTAGAGAATTACATGTACCCTTTATCGATCTTTCATGTAGTATTAAACTCCACACTTGGGATAAGAAATTTCTTTAAATTAAATCATATAAGGCGTTTTTTTTCTATAAGTTACGACTAACAATATTAAAAAGATCTCTCTTTTATATACAGAAAGAACCGCTGTATTTCATTCTCGACATTTCGATATTTTATTTCCGACAATAACTCTTTTTTTCCCGACAATTTTTTCTTTTTCATTTCCGGAATTTTTGCTAGGTACCTCTCCGGCAATTTAATGTTTAACAGGTACATGTACGTAGAAAAGGAATTTTGAAAAAAATTATTATGCACAACATTTTTAATATAAAAATTTTGTATATACATGTATACATCTGTACATGAAGCACTAAGTCTAGTTAACAGATTTTTTTCATTCGTTTTGTTCCCTAAATTAAATGTCAAAGACTGCGCCGAACTTATGTCCAAGACATTTGATTTACTAAACAGTCTATAATTTATTCTTTAAAATTTTCCATTACCGAAATTTAAATCAATTGCGTTTCATGTATAGATATCAGAGATTTAAAACAATGACCGATTCTTATCGACTCGGAATTTAAACATCAGACACAGTTTTAATTCAATTAGTTTGAATTTAACTAATAGAAACGTCGGTATATTTAAGTTCAATATCGGTAAAAATTTTAATTTGAACATAAATATCAAATCTCATGTAAATTATTAATATACGCTTAATCTAGTATTTTTCAATTTTAGCTCAGATTATGATACGCCATATTTAGATTTAGATATTCAAATAAAGACTATACGATTATACTTATTATAAATGTCGCAGTTTTGAAGTGAACGCATGAATATTTTGTTCCTTAGCATAATTTATTAATTTTAAAACTTCAAATCTATTGATATATAAAGCTAACACATGACCATTAGGTTCACCGACCATTCAATGACAGCGCCATCTGCCGCGGGCTCTACCTGTGGGTACCTGTCAGGTAAACAAATACGTCACACCCATTGTTTTATTACCTATACACACCGACAGATTTCACACCTTGAATCGTACTAATTTACACAAAGTAAATTCTAAGGAAAACAAACACTTGCACAATGATTGTGGCATTATTTTTAAAGAAATTATGGTCCTAAACTGCAATGCTCAAAGCACACTAAACGAGTAGATTCTTGTCTAGAAATACGTGTATGTTGTACAAAAAATAAAACACAATAGGGTAAATCCTTCTGAACATACAGTATAAACTGATTCTCTTTAATATCATATGTTAAAGTCAAGATTAAAATATTTTGCACCACCCGGACCTTAAAACGTAGGGGGACCTTTTCTTATACGGGCCGGACCTTTTCTTATAAAAGGCGGACCTAATATGTTATCGTATTTGGTCCGGTCGGACCTTTAAACGAGGCGGACCAAATATTATGCGACACCGGTCGGCAGGGGATTCTCACTCCTCCATAGCACCTGATCTTGTTCTGATGTTAAGAGGCCTGTGTGTGCTCTTCTCCTGATTTTTATTGTCTGGAGGGACTTTTGAACTTGAATACTGATCTAACTCTTTATATCTTTCACATGATTAAATCAAGATATGAACCCATATGCATCCGAGATCTTATTTATTTATTCCCTTCTCCCAAATCTGTATTTTTTTTCCAGATCAATCATCTTGTAATGATAATTACAGGTTAAAGGTCGTGGTTAACGTCGGTGGATTGAATGTTCGAGATAGTATTGATTTAGTAAGTTTTTGTACTTGTCCAAAAGATTTCGGGGGAACTGTAAACTAAATATTATTTTCAACATTTTTTATATGCGATATCTAAGTTTGGAATTCACCCGCGTCAAGGTATGTTCGCGACTGAGACAACATTCTACGCAGATAGGTCGATAATTGGTTCGCGAAGAGAAATATTTGCGAAGAAAGACGGTCGCAAAATTCGCGGATAATTCTCTCTCGCAAAAATAATTGGTTTATAGTGTATAGTTTTTGGTTTCTCTGTGTTTTCAACAATTTCCCTCAAACTTCTCCCATCACTAGATTAGCTGGAGCTAGAGATTTCAATTTCTTCTGTCAAGGCCTCTCTTGATACCAACAAATTTGATCTTTTCCTTCAAGTTTAATGATTTTGAGCTCACCTGGGCTGAAAAGCTCAACCACTGACAGTGAGTTTTTCTGATCACTCAATGTCCTTCGTATGTGCGTCCGTCCGTCTGTAAACTTTTCATATTTTCAATTTCTACTCAAGAACCATACGGTCAATTTCAACCAAACTTGATCTGTAACATATTAAAATAGACACACATACCAAAATTCAGCTAAATATCTGCAAGCGTTTAGAAAAAAAATGCGGAAAACCAAGTAGGACAGACTGAAAAACAGACATGGGGACAGAAGCAGAGGTAACCTATAGTCCCCTCCAGTTTCACCGGTGGGGACTAATAATTTTTTTTACTTTACAGGCCAAACATGCCGTAAACGCTGGGGCGGACGCTATTGCATCTCTCCCACCACTGTTTTTTAAACCGAACAGTATTGGTTAGTACCAAGATGTTTTTAAGGATTTTTTTCTAAAATAATGAGGAAAAAACGTTGAGTTCTAGTAAATTTAAAGATATTTAGGTCTAGATCAAGTTATTATTTTATTTATTATTACCAGAGATTCTTGTTGAGCATTGTAAAGCTGTGGCTGATGCTGTTCCAAACCTTCCATTTTATTATTACCATTTACCCAACATGACAGGAGTAGAGCGTGAGTTCCCCATTTTCCCCTGCATAACAGTCAGCCTTGACGTGCATTATATTAAATGTGAATTAAAATATTGTTTATTATTTGTTTGTTGTTAGTAACGATATTGATTGATTATTGTTGGTTAACGCCGAGTCGGCAATATTTCAGCCATATTTCGGCGACCAAATTAAATGGATATCACCGTTTGTGAAAATTTCAGTTTCTCTGGCGACCCCCAGTGAGCTTACTCTTTTTCGAAAACCAGGGAAACGATTTTTACGTGCCAAGGGGGTTGTTATCCTTGATACGGATTTAGATTTTTTTTAGAAGGCTCAAGTGAGCTTTTCTGATCAAAATTTGTCCGTTGTCTGTCGTTGTCGTCGTAAACTTTTCACATTTTTATCTTCTCAAGAACCACTGGGCCAATTTCAACCAAACTTGTCACAAAGTATCCTTAGGTGAAGGGGATTCAAGTTTGTTCAAATAAAGGGCCACGCTCTTTTACAAGGGGAGATAATTATGAATTAATGATAAATAAATGGCATTTTTTTAGCTCACCTGAGCCGAAGGCTCATGTGAGCTTTTCTGATCACATTTTGTTTAGCGTCCGTCTGTCTGTCTGTCTGTCTGTAAACTTTTCACATTTTCGTCTTCTTCTCAAGAACCGCTGGGTCAGTTTCAACAAACTTGCCACAAAGCATCCTTGGGTAAAGGGGATTCAAGATTGTTCTAATAAAGGGCCACGCTCTCATTCAAGGGGAGATAATTGGGAATAAGTGAAAATTTGGTGCCATGTTTAAAAAAACCTCCCTCTCAAGAATCACTGTGCCAGGAAAGACGAATCTTATGTGGAAGCACCTTCAGGTAGTGTAGATATAAGTTTGTCCAAACCATGACCCCTGGGGGTAGGGCGGGGCCAAAATGGCCAATCAAGGTTTTACATAAAAATATAGAGGAACATTCTTGAAAAATCTTCACCTCAAGAATAACAAGGCCATAATTGATCATGTTTATATGGAAGCATCCTCAGATAGTGTAGATTCAAATTTGTTCAAATCATGACCCCCGGGGATAGGGCGGGGCCTAAATGGCCGATCAAAGTTTTACATAGGAATATATAGGAAAATTCTTTAAAAATCTTCTCTAGAATAGCAAAGCCATAATTGATCATATTTATATCGAAGCATCCTCAGGTAGTGTAGATTCCAGTTTGTTCAAATCATGACCCCCGGGGGAAGGGCGGGGCCAAATGGCCGATCAAAGTTTTACATAGAAAAATATAGGAAAATTCTTTAAAAATCTTCTTCTCAAGAATAACAAATCCATAATTGATCATATTTATATGGAAGCATCCACATGTAGATTCAAGTTTGTTCAAATCGTGACCCCCAGGGGTAGGGCGGGGCCAAAATATAGAAGAACATTCTTTAAAAATCCTCACCTCAAGAATAACAAGGCCATATTTGATCATGTTTATATGGAAGCATCCTCAGATAGTGTAGATTCAAATTTGTTCAAATCATGACCCCCGGGGGTAGGGCGGGGCCTAATTGGCCGATCAAAGTTTTACATAGGAATACATGTATATAGGAAAATTCTTTAAAAATCTTCTCAAGAATAGCAAAGCCATAATTAATCATATTTATATGGAAGCATCCTCAGGTAGTGTAGATTCCAGTTTGTTCAAATCATGACCCCCGGGGTCGCGGCGGGACCACAATGGCTGACCAAAATTTTACATAGACATATATAGGAAAATACTTTAAAAATCTTCTTCTCAAGAATAGCCAAGCCATGATTAATCATATTTATATGGAAGCATCCTCAGGTAGTGTAGATTCAAGTTTGTTTAATCATGATCCCCGGGGTTAGGGCGGGGCCACAATGGCCGACCAAAGTTTTACATACATATTTAGTTTTATATATATATATATATATATATATATATATATATATATATATATATATATATATATTCAAAAAATTATTTTTCCTTGGTATAGGGATAAAATAAAATCCAAATTCAAATGATAAGCTCAAACTTTTATCTAAAGCGCTTTCGCCCCATGCGGGCTCATCAGTAGATTATCTAAAGCGCTTTCGCCCCATGCGGGCTCATCAGTAGATTATCTAAAGCGCTTTCGCCCCATGCGGGCTCATCAGTAGATATATATATATCTATATATTCATATCTTCTTCTCAAGAATAGCAAAGCCATAATTGATCATATTTATATGGAAGCATCCTCAGGTAGTGTAGATTCAAGTTTGTTCAAATTATGACCCCAAGGATAGGGCAGGGCCGAAATTGGCGATCAAAGTTTTACATTGACATATTAAGGAAAATTCTTTAAAAATCTTCTCCTCAAGAATAGCAAAGCCATGAAGCCATAAATGATCATGGGACTACTTTTGGATTTAAACTTTTCAATATTAAACCAATTTCTACTTTTTCCTAACCACAAAACTCAGGTGAGTGATGTGGCCCATGGGCCTTTTGTTAAAAAATCTTCTCAAGAACCACTGGGCCAGGAAAGATGAAACTCATATGGAATCATTCCCAGGTAGTGTAGATTAAAGTTTGTTCAAATCATGACCCCCGGGGGTAGGGTTGGGCCTTAATGCCCGATCAAACTTTTACATAGGGGTATATAGGAAAAAATTTTAAAATCTTCTTCTCAAGAACCACTGATGAAACTCATGTGGAATCATCTTCAGGTAGTGTAGATTCAAATTTGTTCAAATCATGAACCCCGGGGGTAGGGTGGGGCCACAATGGCTGATCAAAGTTCTACAAAGGAATATATAAGAAAATTCTTTTAAAAATCTCCTTCTCAAGAGCCACTGGGCCAGGAAAGATGAAACTCATGTGGAAGCATCCTAAGGTAGTGTAGATTCAAGTTTGTTCAAATCATGACCCCCAGGGGTAGGTTTGTACCACTATGGCCGATCAAAGTTTTACATAGGAATATATAGGAAAAAAGTTCTTCTCAAGAACCATTGAGACAGGAAAGATGAAACTCATGTGAAATCATCCTCAGGTAGTGTAGATTCGAGTTTGTTCAAATTTAATATGACACCTGGGGTAGGGTGGGGACACACTGGCTGATCAAAGTTTCACATAGGACTAGATAGGGAAATCTTTTAAAATCTTCTTCTCAGGTACTTCAAAGCCATGATTAGTGATATTTATTTGGAATCATCCTCAGGTAGTGTAGATTCGAATTTGTTCAAATCATAACCCCATGGAGATGGTGGGGCCAAAATGGGGGATCCAGGTTTTACATTATAATATATTGAAAAAATCTTCTTCTCAAGAATAGCAAAGCCATGTTTAGTGATACTAGTATTTGTATGGAAGCATTTTCAGGAAGTGTATAGAATGAAATTTGTTCAAATCATAACCCCCAAGGGTAGGGTGGGGTCACAATGGTGGATCAAAGTTTACATAGAAAATAAAGGGAAAAATGCCAAGAACAGAAAAGCTATGTTTAGTCATATTGACATGTAAGCATCCTCATGTATTGGATTTAAATTTGTTCAAATCATTGCCCTTTGGGGGTAGGGAGTGAAACAATGGAGAATCAAATTCAAATTATTACAAAGAGATATATAGGAAGATGTTTTTAAAAATCTTTTTATCAAGAACAGCAAAGTCATATGCTGTAGTAATATGAAGGAATTCTCAAGTAGTATTAAAATTCAAGCCCCCCCCCCTTTTCAGTAAACAGTTCTGATCTGATTTGTGCTTTTTCCTGGCCGATTTTCTCAGGTGAGCGATGTGGTCCCTGGGCCTATTGTTTGATTTACAATAGTTGTACACTTAATAAAAACTTCGATTTACTATAGTGATAAATTATACTTTGATTTACTATAGTTAGCTATAGTATTTTTGTTAGGTGCCCGCCCTACCACGGGTGTCAGAATTCGAATAAATTTGAATCTACACTACCTGATGATGTTTTCCTTTAAGTTGTATCTCTCCTATCGCAGTGGTTCTTGAGGAAAAGACTTTTTGTACCATGCACCAATTTTCTCGATTTCTGAGTTATCTTCTCTTTAGTGATGGCGTGGCCCTTCATTTGAACAAACTTGAACCACCTTAACCAATGGATACTCTGTGTCAAGTTTGGTTAAATTGGCCTTCGACTCCGGTGAGCTAATAGAATGACTGAGATGACCACAGTGAAGATATATGGAGAGCAGAGTGGTCAAGATTCAATTATCTTTATACTTTATACGTAGTAATAATTTACGTGCAATACATTTATAATATTTAATTATGAATAGTTTCTTCCATATATAATGCAACTTACTTTGGATATGTAGAAAGATTTAATAGTTAAACATATGTTTTTTCTAGTGAAAATGGAAGATTTCTTGATCATGGCAAAGAAAAAAATACCAAATTTGGTTGGCCTAAAGTTTGCATCAAAGGATCTTGGAGATATGATCGGTTGTTTATTTGCTGGAAAATTTAACATCCTCTGTGGTTGTGATGAGGTAGGTTAAATCCATTTCATTTTTGTTAATCCTGTGAAAGTAAAGTGGTACTCAATGGCAACGTCTTTGTCCCGGGCGTAGGTGTTGTCGGGATTTTCATCAGAAAATAAATTCTTATGACAACATGCGAAAATAATTGGGCATTGGTCATACAGAAAAAAAAAATGACATGAAGTATAAAAAAAATTATTTGCTGAAAGCTATTCGTTCTTTTGTGATATTGGAGAGGCTAAAGCATTTGATGTGTACTTGTAAACCTAGAAGTGATTTTACAAGTACATGTACGCGTAACTAACATCGTGTTCTGATTAAAAAAAAAAACTGTACGTGTATCAACACATGTAAAACTTCACTTCAACAAGTCACTTTATAATCCATTTTTGTCAAATAATTATTTATGTAATAGACTCTTAACATCACTACAAACACTTCCCGTGGGGATCCGAGCAAGAACAGGTCCTCAGTACCCCCTTGCTTGTCGTAAAAGGCGACTAAATGGGGCGGTCCTTCGGATGAGACCGTATAAACCGAGGCCCCGTGTCACAGCAGGTGTGGCACGATAAAGATCCCTCCCTGCTCAAAGGCCGTAAGTGCCGAGCATAGGCCTAAATTTGCAGCCCTTCACCGGCAATGGTGACGTCTCCATATCAGTGAAATATTCTGGAGAGGGACGTTAAACAGTATACAATCAATCAATCAATCAATCACTATAAACACCACTTAAGAATATTTTTTCCAATATTTGAGTTTAAAATTGTAATCTATGGAGATAACAAACAGTGTTCAAGCTTTAATTTAATGTCCATTAATACATAATACAAAATTGGAGCAGAGGAAATGCGGAAATCCAAAAAATGAAAAGTGGTATCAGATGTCATCAACTTGTTTGTCAATAACTTACCCCGTTTAATAAATGTTAATACGTAGAGCATTTTCTTGCGTATTGAATCAACTGAGGGATATATACCTCGTATTCAGGTGATGAAGGTACATTGCTGCATAAGTTCGGGAAGTTGACGATAAAAAAGTTAAAGTTATCACGTTTATCAGAGTCTAATTGTTAGATTACCATTAACGTAATGCAACTTTTGGACTTTTACGAGAAGCATTGACTTTTACAGTTGACGACTTACTTTTACATTTAAACCTGTATCATGTACGGAGGTACATAATTGATAATGGATACGAACACCTTTCTGGCGGTCATAAGAAGAGTGTTTGGAGCACGAACATGTAAAGGCCGTTGTAATGTTGAATATTGATCCGAGTTCAAAATTACCCGAGGTTCATTTTTCAACTTTGAATATTGAACCGAGGGTGTTTTTTCTCCATTGAAAATAGAGACCAAATTTCTCGAGAGGGACGTTAAACAACATACAATTAATCAATCTTAATTTTCAAGAACCACTGAGTTAGAAAATATAAATCATCGTAAGGTAGTGAGGATTCAGGTGTGTTCAAATCATGACCCCGGGCGTGGAGGGGGGTAGGTAGGACAACAGTTGGCTTTCAAAGTTTTACACATGAATACATAGGAAGAATCTTTAAAATTCTTCTCAAGAACAGCAAAGGCATGAGTGTTCATAAAAATATAAAAGCATCCTCAGACTCATCTTCGCTAGCCAAGGGTTTCCGATCCGAAATCTACTCTACAACCCTAAGCAGATTTAGTCCTATCAAACGGGAACTTTAATTGCGCCACCTATCGCCGTAATTGAGTTAAGTCCCTTGAAGCTCTTTAATATTTGTCAAAAGAAAATCGCTGTAACATACGTAAATCAATATGACGTTTGAAACAATATGGCGACCTCCATGCAATTTGATGTGGAATATAACCCAACAACCTCATACAGCTGTGGGCACACCTCAAAAGTGGTAGAAAATATCGTTCTTCATGGATTTTTTATCAAGAGTTTGACAACACTTTCTACATGCTGCTGTATCAATTATTATCGATGAGCCGTGACATTTGATTGGCTTAAATTTATCCACCTAAAATGCGGAACACGGACTTAAGTGGTCCTTTGAATAATTCTTGAAAACATATACATGTATAATCAAAAGAAAAAAAATTCAAATAAATTACTCCCTTGTTTTTTCTTAGCATATATCACGTCCTATCATCCCTTGTAAATAACTCTTCTTTTGTATAAAACACTAACAGACTTTAATTCAGCCGAAAATCGTCGATTAGTAAAAACCGTGCGTAGACTGAGACTTCGCAGCCAATCAAATTCGTTTGCGCGAGTTCTAAAATTTTCAGCCAAATCCGCCAAGGGTTGTAGAGTAGGTCAAAACCCTCTGAAATATTGTGAGAAAAAACCATAAACAAAGGAAACAAAAAAGGGAAAGGGAAACTATCCAATGTTGAAAACCGAACCATGTTTCTCTTGGATGGAAGGGCCGTTTCAGAAATTCCTCACAAACTATCCTGTGTTTCCCTGATTCGGGGGGGGGGGGGGGGGGGGGCAATGTTATATTTTGGCTACTTTATTACAAAAATTAAATAACGCTGAAAGTCCAAAAATGAAGAAAACAGCCCATTCACAAATACAAAAAAACACATTCTTCAAATATATATGGTACTAATCAAAAAAGGGGAGATCACCGCCCCCCCCCCCTTTTCCATTTTCTACTGTACAAAATAACTAAGTATTGTGGGGTTCATGCTTGATCTATTTGATTAATTATGCGTAAAAAAGATCACCTAACCTTTTATTTTGAAAAAAATCCGTTTTTTCAAGTTGGGCATTGTAAGATATTAGTGTTGTGCATAACTAAATAAGCATTAAAACGTACATGCATCATACGTTAAACTATTTGTCCATTGTCCAAACTAGTAGTCCAAACCCGAAAATCCTATGGGGGGGGGGGGGAGGTAGGACCCAATTTTTTTTTTTTCAAAAACTACCACTTACTCTTCTTTCTTTGAGTACACTGTAACGTGCCTGTTGAAAGGGAGGCTAAACCAGTTTCACTTTGTTCAATGCCTATGTCTATCTTTGCGAAGAAGTAAACTCCCCCCCCCCCCCCGTTCCCGACGCCTATAGATTAATTCACAGTTGTGAAAAGCAAGTGATGAATATTATTTTTTTATGCTGTTGAATTAAAAACCGGTCTCATGATCAAAATTCCACGACCCGGGTCAGTTTTTCGAGGGACAAGGGTCTAAATTCAACACCTTTGGTCTCAGTATTCAACGTTGAAAAATGACACCCTGGGTTAATTTTAAACCCGGGTCAAAAGTCAACGTTACACCGGGAGTTGAGGGTAGGGTTGTTGTAGTTTTATTTTCGTTTCTTTAAATGGTTGAGCTGAAAATAAATTGTATTTATATTGTAAAAGACCCTCCGTACTGTGTATAAGTAAACCGTCAAGTGAAAAAGTCAGCGCTCCTCAGAGTAATATTGACCGATAACAAAGAAGAGATAGCGGTCGCTACCACTTGCTATGAGTTCTTGTATTAGAAGCACATATTAACTAACACTTAAGTCCACAATTGTAATTTTTTCACATTGTCGAGTTCCTTTCAAGAACCGCTGGGCCAGTTTCTACTAAACTTGCCAAAATTATCCATAGGTAAAAATGATTAAGGCTTCTTCAAATGAAGGGTCGCCTTCTTCATACAGTATTAGTAAAAAAATAAATGGCATGTTAATTTTAAAAATCCTCTTCAAAAAATGTACCAGATAAGAAGAAACTCCTTTGTAAACATCCTTAGGTGGTATAGACTTAAATTTGTTAAAATCATAATCCGCAAGGGTTGGGTTTTTGACCACAATGGAAGATCAAAATTTTTACTTATACTTCACATATTTAATCCTTGTTAGAAGACCCTTCATTGGATACCAAAAACTTTGACCCTTAGACTTTGGGGTTTGAATAACTTTTAAAAAACAAACCTTGACCATAACTTTTAAAGGGTTAGGGCTAGTGCTTTCATACTTTTCATATTTAATCCCTGTGACAAGACCTTTCATTTGATATCAAGAACTTTTATACGGTTAGTGCTAGGGCTTCCATACATCACATATGTATTCTTTGTGGCAAGACCTTTCATTGAGTATCGATTACCTTGACCTTGACCTTTGAGATGTCCGTACTTATTAAAAACTTGAACCTTGATCTACGTTCATATTTCAGAATTGTATTTCCAGAGAAAATATCCTACTTTAGGTACCAATATATTAAATTTGCATTTAATTGAAGTTAAATCTTCGCTATGTTGCCATACGGGAGCATCAGTGTATTACAAACACATCTTGTTTTGTTTAATATTTGTCAGCAACTAATGGCAAACATGGTTATGGGAGCACACGGTGCAGTTGGTACTCTATACAACTTCATGCCTCAGCTGTTCCACAGACTTGTTCAGTATGTTAGAAATGGAGAGATGCAGAATGCTCGGGCAGAACAAATTCGCGCACAAAAGGTTCTACGGATTATGGTTAAATATGGTACTTTTATTTGATATGATATCTTTTTACATGTTCTGTATTCATTTTATACGTATTAAATAAATAACTGAAAACTTAATGTAGAACATATAAATATGCTGTCGATTCTGAAAACCATTTACACAAGCTTCAAACACAGGCTATACATAGCCATGTTTGATTCGTTATGTGCCCATGGCAAACTTAAGTGCAGTTTTTCTGCCGTGATACCGCCCCTCCTCCCCAGCACGAAATAGTATTTTAGAGCTAGAATTTTTTTTTTCTTTATCGTTTATCAAGTTTTTTTATAATGTAAGTTGGATACTTTTTCTACGACTCCCCCTCCAAAAATCGATGCTACGTCCCTGTTATGTGAAAAATTTATGCAGTATATGTATAACTGTAATATCCATGAATTTTTACCTAGCTGTTGGGGGAGGGGGTGTTGGGTATAGAAACAAGAGGCCCACGGGCCTTATAGGTCACCTGAGTATCATGTAACAACTTTCCAGCGATTGTATTTGGTTCGTGTTTTAATCCAAAAACCATGAAATTCACAAATTTTGAAAGAGGCACCATTGCTTATCAATGGGCAGATTTCAAAGCATTAATTTATTTTTAGTCAAAGTACCCCCTGGTACCCCTGACCCAGCAGCCCTGAAATTATCTATTTTGAAAGAGGCCCCTTTCTTCGTTATAAGGCCAGAATTTTTTTATGTTCAGGTTTAGTTATGAACATGAGAATAAAAAAGTCCCGAAGGAGAAGGAAATAAATAAAATTTTTGATAAATCAATTATTAACATTTGTACATTCTTTTTTTATGCTATCCTAATAGGCTCCTTACCACTGGACACATAATGCTTTCAAATAGGAAAGTAGAACATTTAATTGCTTATTTCATCATCTGCCATTTTGGGCCAGTTATATAAATTTTGTGATGTTGATCAAAATATATTTTAAAAAATCAATTCTTTAAAAGTCTTTCAATATATCTTCATTTTTTTAATATGTGTTAGGTGAATGTGTAGACATTGTTCTAAAATTTACTTGATGCCTAAAATTATAATTCCTATCATAAAACAGACAGGGTGAACATTTTTTCAATTAAGTGTGAAATAATTTTTCTGGCTGATACAAATGATACTAAATGCCTGTATATATCTGTATATTCTTGCCTTTTAATTGTTAATTTTTTTTTTTATTTCTTCAGGTTATTGTTTATTTCTTCCTCAAATGGACTCAACTTCTCCCATAGTTTTATTCATTACATCTGATGCATAAGCAGTGAAGAATGATACTGTAAGCTACAACAAAGACCTAAACACTGTAGCTGGCAATATGCAATAGCTACCACGGGCAGTTTAAAACCCGGGGGAGGAAAATAATTTACAGACAGATACTTTTGAAACGAATACATAATTATCTCACCAGCATGTCATTGTGCAACAAAGTCGTCAGCATTTTATTTGTCCTTTGAACGGGTGAATCGTTTTGAATGGCACTCTTATCGATGAATTTTACACTAAACCAAGCTATCTTCTCAGACCTGTCACCTAGCTTTATTTACCCGCGGTTTCATCGTAAAAGTGGAAGTGCGAGTTCGTAAATTTGAAATCTCGATCCCGATTCAAGTTTGACATCGGAAAGAAAAAAATGTTGTATTTCTTTCTGAAAATTCAAAACCTTGAGCGGAGGGTTTATAAAACTGAAAATAAAATAAATCCTGGCCTTAAATATGTAATCAGATCATTAGCATATTAACCAGGAGCAAAGGATAAGATGTTCAAAGAATTCATGCATTTCACTATATAATCATTAGAGCCCCACCCTAAAACAAGAACCCCTGACCCTGGGGCCATAAAATTCACAATTTTGGTAGAGGCACTCTTGCTCATCATAACTATGTACTTAGTTGGTTTATTTAATACCCAGGAGCAGAGAAGATTTTCAAAGAAATAATGCATTTTCACTATATACTTATTTAGCCCCGCCCTAGCACTAGAACTCCTGACCCCAGGGCCATGAATTTCACAATTTTGGTAGAGGACTCATTGCTGATTACAATCATGCAAACAGTTTGGCTGCTTGATGTCCAGGAGTAAAGAAGAAGATTTTTAAAGATTGCATTAATTTTAGTGGTTTTGACCCCACCCCTCAAGTCCCATGGGGGCAGGGACCATGAAATTCACAATTTTTGTTCCCCTGCACCCACAGATGCTGTATACAAAATTTGGTTGAAATTGGTTTAAAGGTTTCAGAGAAGAAGCTGAAAATGTTCAAATGTTAACACACGACGGACGACGAACGACGGACGCCGACAGACAAACACGGATGGCAATAGGTCACCTGAGTGACTCAGGTGACCTAATAAATACCTCTTTTAAATGAAGAGAAATAGTGCGCATTATCATTTATCAGTCAAATATTAAAATAGCCTTATATATACAGTTGTAATTTGTACAAGTGATAGGTCGACCACTGATTTGAGCACTGTCGTTAACGGTCCCGGCATACTAGTAATCAGTCCCTCTAATTCTTCTCGTATCCTTAAATACTCTGTCACGTCTGATACGACGATTTGGTGAAGCCAGCAATAACGTCATGGATGCGGCCATTTTTGCATAACATAGACTTAAGATGTTTCAAAAGCTGTCGTAACTTTAAGATTATACTTATATATATATATATATATATATATATATATATATATATATATATATATATATATATATATATATATATATATATATACGTTTGTTAGTCCTAAGATAACTTCGTTAACTTGCCTGTTGGTTCCTTGAAATGAATTCTGAATATTAAAAAACATTTTTACTCATTTTAAAACATTTAAGGGCTATTAACAAACTAATTTACGAGCCAAAGGTCAAGCGGGGCGCAGTGGCTAGAGCGACTGCTCTACAGTGGATACATACAACACGGGTTGGAGGTGGATGTCCTTCCAATGAGACCGTCAGAGGTCCCATATGTCGCGGTTGTTGTTGGCACGAAAATAATCCCTCGCACCTTTATGGCTTTAAGTATGAGGTATGGGAGAAAATTTGCGATTCTCCACATAGCTGCAAATGATGGCGTCTTCATATGAATGAAATTGTAAAGAGCGAAGTTAAACAACAAGCAAATAAAAACGAACCAAAGGAGGGAGTTTCTTTAGATACAACTTTTAACGATATATATATTTGGATTATTTTAGTCAAGATAAGGTCTAGAACATTTTTTGCTTTATTGTGTAATGGTGTAAATAGTTGATTTATTTTGTTGGGGGGGGAGGGTTACTTTTCCCAAGTATATAAACGTTTTTAAAATTAAATTTTGCCTATTTGTATTGAAGAACCGACCAGATATGATGCTTTTATGTTCGTATTTTATGTCCAGTTCACAGACTTGCATGGTTTAGATCAACCGCTGTTGGTTGCACCTTTTGCATAATAGCACTAGAACTCTTTCTGACGTACTTACTTAATCCTTTTCGTGCTGGTTAGCACATAAGGTCGTCACCAGAGACTTCCATGCTGGCCAATGGCTGTCCATGGCATTTCTGGATATATCCCTATGTACAGATGTTTTTCCAATCTTTCTCCACAGGTCTTCATGTTTCTTTTGGTCTTCCTCTCTTTCTCTTGACAGATGGTGTCAATCTCAATGCAACCCTTAGAATGGAGGTTGGGTGCATATATATATGTCCTATCCACAACCATCTTCTTTTCTTTATAACTTGAGATAGAGGGGTGGTGTTAGTCTTTTTGTACAGTTCTTCATTTTAGATTGTATTAGGCCAGAAGATGCGTAGTATTCTGTAAAGGCAACGTGTCTGGAAGGAATCTAGCTTGGTTTGAAATGGTTTTTGTTACTTTCCATGCTTCAACCCCATATAGGAGGACGCACCCCACGCACATTGCTTTTGAAGATCCCTATTTTGGTATTGATGTTGATCTTTGCTGACCTCCTGATGTTACTTAGTGCAACATACGCTCCTGTGGCTTTAGAAATCCAAGCAAATACATCTACCTCGAGTTCCCATCTGTGGTGATCTTGCTTTCTAGATAGACAAATTCTGTGATCTCTTCTATTTTTTCATTATTAAGGGTGATGGGCTCGTCTGATTTAGTATTGAACTTCATGTTCTTAGTCTTGTTTCTGCTAGTTGGTTGGTTTTTTTTTCTTGCATGTCGCAATGTCGGTGTGATACTAGTAGCAGCGCTATGTCGTCTGCCAAATCTAGAAATTCCCGTCTGCTTATTCTTGGTGGTTTCTTGTATGATCCAGTCAGTGCAGAATGTGAAGAGAAGAGGGGAGTGCAGACATCCCTGTTTTACTACAGTCTTCAATTTGAACTCTCTAATACGTTTGATCCATAAATAACTCTGGCATTTATATCTTTATACAGCATCTTAATGAACAAGATGATTTTATTTGGAATATCCCATATAATGATTGAGGATTAAAGTTGACGTGAAATGAAGTTCCATTCATTGATCTGCTCTTATATTAGTCTGAGAGTGAATCTGATCGGCACATGATCAGATCAGATTCATTCTCAGACTAATATTAGAGCAGATCAATGAATGGGACTCTCCATTTCACATCAACTTTAATCCTCAATCATTATGGAATATTGGAATATTCCAGATGAAATCATCTCGATCATTAAGATGCTGTATACTGATATAAATGCCAGAGTTATCAGTGGATCAAACCTATTAGAGGAATCCCTTTGGAAAACCTGCCTGTTCTTTCCACAGTAGAGCATCTGCTATGTCTGTGATTCTGTTCAATGTAACTCTGCTTAGCACTTGAATACCGAGGGCAGCATTTTTCCTCTATAGTTGTTGTAGTTGGAAAGGTCTTCTTTTTTGGAAGCTTTACGATAAGATCTGTTGGTGTCTCTTCTTACTCCCATATGTTCTGTAGAATATGATTGTCTAGTGTTTTGATGATTTGATAGAGGGTTTGTATATCTTGTTTAAAAGCTGTTTGCAGGTGTCCAGGTGAAATTCTTCGGCCGTGTGTTAACAGGAGCTCTGCAAATTTTTACAGCATCTATGGTAAAGGGAAACAAAAATGCCAGCAGCCTTTCCACTTTTTAATTTCCCTATTGCCTTTTTCATTCTCTTCTATACGGGGCTAAATAGGTTAAATAGTGAAAATGCATTATTTCTTTAAAAATCTTCTCTGCTCCTGGGTATTAAATAAATATGCAATGTGTTTATGGCTGGTGTTATCAAAAGAACTTGGCCCCATTTCCTGTATCATTTATATTGAACACTGAATCCTCAAAATGTTCTTCTTCTCTGGGGTATTAAATAAACTAGCTAAGTACATAGTTGTGATTCTTTCAAATTTGTGTATATCAGGGGTTCTGGTGTTTCTTTTGATATAGGCATTTCCTTTTCTTGTCTGGAGTATTATATCTTTACATAGTTATGATGAACAAGAGTGCCTCTTTCAAATTTGTGAATTTCTGATGACTGAAAAATTTATCTTCTTCTCTGCTCCTGGATATTAAATAAACTAACTAAGTGTTTTGATGTCTCTTCCAAATTTTGATAGAGGGTTTGGGGCTATATATATCTGAAAATGCATTATTTTTAAAAAAAAAAGCTGTTTGTTTTACTTCAAATATTTTAATTTTGGCTAGCTCTACATTACATTTTTTTGAAAATCTTTTCCTTTGCTCCTGGGTATTATATGCTAAGTATATATATATATATATATATATTTATGATGAGGAAAGGTGCTTCAAAATGGTCTGCCCCCTCAGGGGTTCGGGGGGGGGGGGTAAATAGTCTGAAAATAAATAAATGCTTTGAAATAAACTCATTAGTATTAATCAACCATATTTGATGAAATAACATTTATGATGATAAAATTTTGAAATATATGGCCCCAGGGTCTGTGGTTCCTGTGGGGTGGGGTGGGGTGCACAATTGCATGGTTTAGAATGGAAGTCCTTAGTTACTCTGATCTACTTATGGTTGTTAACTTAAGCATTGCTAAGTGTATAATTATGATAAGCAATAGTACCTCTTTCAAAATCGTGATTTTCATGGCCTCTGGTTTAGAACACAAACTAAATTCAATTGTTGGAAAGTAGTTACATGATACTCAGGTGACCTATAAGGCCCGTGGGCCTCTTGTTTAGTGTATGCCTTCAAGTCTGCTCTTGCATTTTTCGTTCCTTCTTTGTCTATAGTCCGATATTCTGCTTTGAGCTGATCTTTTTGTCTCTTTGATTTAATGTACAAGATTTTCTTTTCACTACGTCGCTCTACTGATTTCCATGTATTCTCTTTTTTCCTCTTTCTTGGACCAAGTTTGTGCTGCCCATTATTTAATAGTATCTCATTAAATGTTTCCATATCAATCAATCTGTGTGTTCGATAAAAACCGCAAACTTTTAACGTGCAGTACAAATCAATTACAAGTATAATTCTAGTAGTCATTTCTCTGAACATGTGTTTCCCTGATTAAATGAAATGAATGTGTAGTTTTTCCTGCAATATCCCCATTCATCAAAAACACATCTTTCAACAAATTATTGGGATTCCTATGGGTGCCAATTGCGCGCCGTTATTAGCAAACCTATTTTGTATTTATATATGAAGCCGATTTTGTCCAAAAAGATAACAAAAACACTTGCCGTGGCCTTCAACTCGACATTTAAGGTATATCGACGACGTCATATCAATTAAAGCTGAACACGATTCGTAAAAAGAATTTGTCCGCCATATTTGTTCCAGCTCCTGCTATATCTGCAGCCCCCTTAAATTAGAGCAGGTCAATTTATCACTGTTCTGTGTAATGAATTGTCACCGGTGTACATATGCTATTCAATAATCAGTAGGGACCAAAAAAACTGTACTTCCAATGTAGAAAAATAAGATACCCAAGATACTTACAACAGTTGTGCAGTGTACAAACAAACACAAATATGCGTAACTGCTATAAAATGTAATCAAAGGTGATGTAAGATAACCAGCAGAACACGGATCGCCATTCCACGTCGATATCATTGACAATACGGCAATCAAGTGTAACGAAAGCAAATAGTATACCTTGGTGTTGATGTATCGTAGATAATGATATCAAAAATGGCGTATTTCTATTTACGAGTCAGGAATGGAATATTCATGTCACAAATAGTGATGAACAACAGGCTTTCTCTGGCGTTTATATCTTTATTTTTCATTTCAAGGTCACCAGCTTGGGGGTAATGTGGCAGCTGTGAAACCGTTTATGACACTTGTCGGTTTGGATCTTGGACCTCCTCGCCAACCAATGAGGGCTATGTCTGTTGATGAAACCGCAGAATTCCTAAATGACGTTGATAAACTAGGATTCAAAGACTGGAATCCAGCTCTTTCCTTGTAGCAATTTTTTTTTTCTAAAAATCTTGTCACCTGAATCATTCTGCTGACTTAAACAAAAGCTTGCGCGTCAGTCGACATCTATAATAAAAAATAAATGTTAAGAACAGAAATACCCTTATTCTTAAGGAGGGCTTTTAAAAAAAAAATGTCATGCAACATTATTTTAGCTTACCTGAGCCAAAGGGTCAAGTGAGCTGTTCTAGAAAAGATCAGAATATGTCCGTTGTCGTTGTAAACTTTTCACAATTTCATCTCCCCAGAACTACTGGGCCAGTTTCAATCAAACTTGACACAAATTATGTTAGGGTGAAGGGGATTCAGGTTTTTCACATGAAGGGCTACGCCCTTTTCCAAGGGGAGATTACAAATGAGTGAAACTATATTGACATTTAAAAAATCTTCTCAAGAACCACTGGGCCAGGAAAGATGCAACTCATGTGGAATCTTCTCAAGAACCATGGGGGCAAGAGAGATGCAACTCATGTAGAATCTTCCTCAGGTAGAGTAGATTCAAGTTTGTTTGTTTTTTTTTCAAATCATGATCCCCGGAGATAGGGCCACAGTGATTGATCCAAGTTTTACATAGGAAAATACAAATATAAAGGAAAAATCTCTAAAAATCATCTTCTCGAGTACTACAAAGCACAGGCCTTTCGATCGGTTAGAAAAAGAATAAGGGGTTAAAAAAAATAAAGGTATGGAAATCTTTTCATAAGGTACATACTTTCGCCAATAAAATTCTTATAAATCAAATGCTTTACAATTTCACTTTATATCCATATCTATTCATATATAAACAATCTTTATTACTACTAAAGTTCATTCCGTAATTCCTTGTACTTCTCGATATATTCTGAAATCAATTCCAAAATTGACTTTAATTTTTTTACTCGACATCAGCTCGGGCCTTTAGAGAGCTACACTAATTGTTAAGCGGGAACGACGAGACAAATTTTCCCCGAAATTTATTCTATTCTCAATGAATATTTGCCCTTTTGCATTTGAGCTTTTCAAGGTTTTCTCTAACTGATCATAATGATGATCTTACTAAGTCACGAACAACATTTTAGCGGTCTAATTGTTTTTAAAATCGGAAGGTATATTATACATTCCGGGAAAAAATTGTTCAACCGTAGCTTCTTTTACATTCATTATCAACAAGGCGGCATAGACGTTTTCAGATTAATTTTTCGCGAAAGGAATTATTACGGACTTAACCTTACAATCTGGAGTAAAAAACGAACTTTAAAATGTTGAGAGATTTTGCAAATACTATACAATTCTTCGCTGCACTTCAAACACCGTCTGTTTACATGTGAATGACCAGGGGCCCAAGCTAATGTCGAGGAAAAAAATAGGTCATTTTTGAAATTAATTTTAGAATATCTCGAGAAGTATATGGAATTGCGGAATGAGCTTTGGCAGAAATGAAGTTTGTTTATCTATGAATAGATTTAAATAGAAATTAGAACTGTAGAGCATTTGATTGAAAAATACTTTTTAGCGAAATTGCGTACCCAGTGTAAGAGTTCGATCCATACCTTTATTATTTTTTTACACACACATTTTTTTAAGCGATCCAAAGGCCTGTGCTACAAAGCTATGTTTGGTCTTACCGATATGGAAGCATCCTTAAGTGGTGTAGATTCAATTCATGACCACCGGGGAAGGGTGGGGCTATAATGTGGGTTCAAAGTTTTACATATATGGATATATAAAAAGAAATCTTAAAAGCCATGATTGGTGATATTTATATGGAAGCATCCGCAGGTGATGTACATTCAAGTTTGTTCAAATCGAAACTCCTGGGGGTACAATGACGGATCAAAGTTTCACATAGAATATATATATATAGTGAGAGAGAGAGAGAAGAAGAAGAAGAAGAAGAAATCTTTAAAAATGGGATTTTTTTAAAAGCAGGATAGCAAAACCAAATTAGTAATAATAAATGCTATCATATGTACACCAATACAGTACAATATACGTTTACGAAAATGAGATTTAATAAACGTATCCTGGCGTCATGGGTTTCCGATAGTCTAACATTAACCGCGGTTCTAATTATTTTCAAGTTTAGTCAAAGATTTTCAAACTCTTTTGATTTTTAACCCTATGCATTGCATTAAGGTAGGATTCTTCTCTGGTTTCTGACTAGATGAAACATTCCAAGTATATTTGCTTATACAATGCTATATAGAGGTGTGTTCAAAAGACATATTTTTCTTTGCTTATCACAATTGTACAAATTTAAATAGAAAAAACTATGCATTGTGACGTCACGTTTTATTTACACCCGGCGGAATGGTGGCGTATGAAAATATCTTCTTTTCTGTCTCTCAAAATTGTAATAGAACAATGAATTTAGTTATATTTTTTACACAATTGAGGACTTGGATAAATTTTCAAATGTAAGTTAAATTAATAATGCTTATGTAAACTCTCAAATATATCAAATAAATATGATTTTTCAAACAAACTAGAACTTTGTTAGCCAACACTTCCTATCAAAGTGCAGGATCAAAAATCCATAAAAATTATTTTTTCTCTTCTCAAAACTTTTTGTTTTTCTCTCATTTTGTACATTTATAAGACTACTTTATTATATGTGAAAATAAGAAAAAGTTAAATATAAAGCATATGAAAATAACTAATATATCCTAAAAAATTCAGAGAAAATGTAGCCAGTATCCAGTTAAGTTAGATTATTTATGTAAATTTGGTAATAGCATGCTATAGACACGACATTAATATGTTTTTATACAAAAAGAACAATCATTAAGCTTTTATATCCAGTCAGTATCAAGGATTGGCAACAGTTATTTTTTATCTTAATGTCAAGAGAAGAAGACCTTGACCTGGTGCTTAATATAGAACGGTCAAATTTAATTTCACTGATACTATACTTAAAAGCAGGATTCTGTGAAAATTTCATTAATTTTTAAATATAGAAATAATGGAATGCTATTAAAAATGTACACCAATACAATACAATATACTTTCTAGCTATAAATAAAAGATTTAATAAACGTATATGTTTCATGGTGTTTCCGATAAAGTTCTTTAACATTAGGGTGAACAGCTAGGGCAATAATCAAAATGAAAAGTTTAGTCAAAAATATATTAAATATATTTAATTTTTAACCCTAATATTTATGCATTAAAAATCCAGATAATAAATTGGCATAAAGTGTCATCATATGAGTACAACATTTTCTAAATAAAATGATGTTATTTAATTGCAATTATATTTTCTAGATGTCATTTATTCACAGCATGGACAATCTAAAAAGGGCATGATTTCCCTGACAGTACATATAGCCAGGTGAACAGTACTGGAGATGAACCCAAGGTCCAAATGACTCGCATTGAACCCATTTGAAAAAAATCATACAAATTTCTTGAGTTTACACACAAATTCTTACAGACTCAACACTTCTAATTTTCACTCATATGCAAATAATTCTTACAGACGCAACCCTTCTCATTTTCACACATCTGCCATTCTTTTTCTTCCTAATCTGAGTTTTAAATATAATCAACTTAAATGTTGAGTGAATCAATATAAGGTTGATGAAAGATATGGTCCAGGTTGTTGAGACTATGATGTGATAAACTTCTTGTTCTTTATGGTTTCTGTTTAATTTTTCAGTGGTTTTCTTACAGTTTTTGCAGTTTTAGAAGATAATGTGTTGCATGATTTAAAAAAAAAATATTGTTTAAACATAGGGACTCCATCTTGATTCACTAACTGATAGCCCTGATAAGTGCAGATGGGGAATAACAACGCTTTGTTTTATTTGTTACTGCCTAAAATATTACAAAAAGTGACGTTATTCACAAGAATCAGCTAATTTTATGACGGGTTAAGGCTTCCATACATGGAAAAACTAATAGAGTCACATGGTTAATTTAAATACTAAAATACGTCACCGGAAGTGCAATTTATCAGATGATGAGCGTCGGTAAATGCAGTGAGAATCAAAAGGGTTTTCAGACGATTTTGATAACTACAAATTATGGTTATAAGAAAAATGAGTATTTTTATCACTGATTGCATTGTTTTTATGATATTTACCTTTTCACGCAGCATATTTTTTATCTTTTGCTTATATTGATGTTGCGAGATTCCCTACCTCAGGTGTCCTTAGTAATTAGAAATATGACGTTATTTTAGGGAAAACTCGCGCGACGAAAATAGACTATCGGAAACATATGACTATCAGAAACATATGATGGCACGATACATAATGAAATATACATGTTAGCTGGATTTATTTTAAAATAACACATCCCATTCTTGTTCATGTCGTCGCAAAAAGCAACGTCAAAATATCGCGAAGTTATAGTATATAATGCAACCTTTGCAATTATATAAAACATTAACAAAGCATTTGTACAAGCATATATTGATAATTTCATGAAAATGAACACTCTCTGAAAGACTCGAGAAGATTATTATTTAATTTTGACGAGGGGTCGTTTTTTTTTTTGATAAACAAACCTTGTTCTTTGTAGCTGTAAATTAGTAAAAGAATTAAGAATCCAAAATGTAATTTAAATTATTTATTTTTTTAAAAAATGCAAAATCGGAAGATTTAATTGAAAAAAATCAATTACATTTACAGTTTAGCTGGCAACTATTTCATTTGGTTGAGCCAATGAGGCACACTGAGCCAGTGTTCCGAATGACGAGCACTGACAGGACATTGTAGGGGTGTTGTAGGTATCGCCATGCTTTATAATAGTACCGTCAGGAGCCTTGCAGTTTCGACCTAGAGAAAAAAAGGATTAAAATTCTTGGAAATATTTTATAGTGAACATTTAATGCCTTTTGAGGCACATTAGTACTACAGGGATATTCCCAATGTGAAAAAAAAACTATTTTTTTTATCTATATAAATACGCAAGTTCGTCGTCAATCACACCCATATTATGCTTTATGCCAGCAGACTGTACTTTTTTTCACGTTTAGATCGACCATATACGGAAGAATTCAAATACTAGTGCATTAAATAGAAATCAGAATTTTTGAAAAAAAAAACCGGAAGAAGGCCTCGTTTAAATAATTTTTGCTTCTTATCTGATATATTTTTATCATACCGTTCATGGTCAAATATAAACGTCAATTGTACTTTCTGTTCGCACAGAAAGGCATATTGATGAGTCTTTCAAATAATAAAACATTTTTAGAAATTTCCAGCTTTTAATACTTTTAAATCAATGTGGAAAGGGGGGGGGTCCACAAGATTTTAACTATTTATTTCAATTACAACATAACGAAAGCAGACATGTGATATGTGCTATAAACAAAAATCACTGTATACTTACAACTGATTTGGGGTTTAATTTTACTGTTTTCGCATTTATAAAATTTTATTTTTGACAAAACTGTCATTAAACCAACCATAGAATTCTTTTTAAAATCAATAAAAGTAAACTAACCGTTTGGACACACCGGGCAGCATTTGTTTGGATCATGAACAGCGTCCACACAACCATCAAAAAAGCAATCTACAATGGCACAATATGCTTGTCCTGAGGAAGTGCATTGGCAAGGTTCACACGGGGAATGTTGAAAAGAACCAACATGGTACCACTTCCCCTGGTATAGACAGCCTGGGGGAGGAGTAAAAAGGACGGGGGAATCCCGACTCTCGACGACCAGAAAAGCTGTTACGAGAAGACCAATGGAGAGTGTCACTAGATGTGCCATCTTTCTTCTGTCAGGGTTGGTCTAGAAAAGAATTTTTTATTATCTTATCTTTCTTATATCACGAAGAATTTTCTTTAACCTTTTACAAACACCAGTCACAGGTCTGACATTTCAGTAGTCCCATTAAATTTATTAAAATATCAGTGGCGGATCCAGGAATTTCGTAACGGGGGGGGGGGGGCGCAGTAGAAGGCAGAGGGGTCTGGAGACTAACTGAAGCCCCCAAGGGTCTATGGCAAGGTCCTTTTTGGGGGTCCGGGGCTGACAAGTTCTTACAAATAAGAGATGTTTTTCCTTGATTTTAGGCTAATGGACACATAAATTTTACATAAAAAATTTCAAACGTGGAGGGCGCCGGCCCTGGATCCGCCTTTGAATATATCTGAAATATTGAATATATCTGAAATATAAAACATTTTTTAAAAATTTATTTGGTTATTGTTTAAAAGTTGTATACATATCTCTCTCGAATTACATGTTTAAACCAAACAATAAAGAGAGAAGAAAAAAACAAGAGTCCAGATGGCCTTACAGTACAAAAAAACCTTGTAGCCCAAAAGCAATAGAGTAGGTTGATCTTAATAACGAAATAATTAATATAGTAATCAGTAACAACCTAATTAAAACACATGCTAATTATACATGATTTTTAGGTCACCTGAGCAAACTCAGGTGACCTATTGCTATCCGTTGTTGTCCGTCGTCGTGCGCCGTGCGTTAACATTTGAACATTTTCAGCTTCTTCTCTGCAACCAATCAACCAATTTCAACCAATTTTGGCACATATCATCTATGGATAAAGGGGAACAAAAATTGTGAATTTCATGGTCCCTGTCCCCCTGGGGCCTGAGGGGTGGGGCCAAAACCACTAAAATTAGTGCAATCTTTAAAAATCTTCTTCTTTACTCCTAGTATTCAAGCAGGCACACTGTTGGCATGAATGTAATGAGCATTTGAGTCCTCTACCAAAATTGTGAAATTCATGGCCCTAGGGTAAGTGGTTCTTGTGCTAGGGCGGGGCTATATAGATTACATAGTGAAAAATGCATTATTTCTTTGAAAATCTTCTTCTCTGCTCTTGGGTATTAAGTAAACTAAGTAAGTACATAGTTATGTTGAGCAAGAGTGCCTCTTCCAAAATTGTGAATTTTATGGCCCCAGGGTCAGAGGTTCTGGTGTTAGGGCGGGGCTCTAATTGATCATACAGTGCAAATGCATTATTTCTTTGAATATCTTTTCTGCTTCTGGGTATTAAATAAACTAACTAAGTACATAGTTATAATGAGCAAGAGTGCCACTTTCAAAATTTTGAATTTTATGGCCCAAGGATCAGGGGTTCAGGTGTTAGGG